AATACCAATCAACGATTTATTTATGTTCTTTATATATTTATATATATTTGTAAGGTCCAAGTTACAGTGCAGTAGTTGTAACAGAGGTGACTCAGATAGTCAAATGTGTATCTGTTGAAATAAAGGTTCAACATGGAGGAACGTGTTACATAGAAGTTGAAGTGAGCAGAAATAATGGATCTTACTACCTGATATCAAGGACACTCATCTGGAAGATCATGGGAATAGAAGTTAAGTGTAACTTATACCATCATACCACAAAATCATCGAAAAATACTACAAAATCCTAACTTCATTTGTGGAAATACAAACACCTGCTGTACTTGTACCAGCATCATCAAATACTTTGGAATATATTAACCAGTAATTTATATTCCAAAGAGAAGTTTAAATTTTTGCGGGAATAAATGAAGTTTCTCGTAAAACAACCGTCTATACTCAACGACTCGGCCAAATCAATGAGAGGACAACCAGTACTATCTTCAAGTGAAGGCGTTATAGGACTCTTTTCAACAAAGAAGTAGTCGAGAAATTGCAGAAAATTCCTGGGATGAGCTGTGGCATGCATTCCCTATTTGTGAGCACAGTCAATGCAGAAGTTGTACCAGTTTTTATCGTCTCTTAATATATTAAAATGATAGAAAACTCCACAATCTATAGATGTCCGATGAACAAATTAGGAGCCATCTGTAGTTCTACAACCCATCATTCAGTGCGACTGATGTCAACCACCAAATTTTAATCAAGAACGTCAACAACAATCGTATCAACAAGATCAAACTAAAACTACACTATACTCTATATTATCACACCTACTTCAGAGAAAACTACATCTATTGAAGTCAAATATTCCAAAGGATTCTTCAACCTTTTTTTTATACGATACCATTTGTCTGCATGTGTCAGTTCTCAAACAACGAAACCTAAACTGGGATACCTAATAATCAAAATATTAAAACATATGTACATTCTGTGGTCGCTTCTCCGATATCACTTTGTTACTATCTATAAGCAACCATTTAACTATGGGGGTGTGACGTCAGAATTAATTTTCTTCCTCCTAAATTTTTTTCTCATTATTTTAATTTTTCTTTCTGGTTTGATAAACTTGAAAAAAAGTTTAGAGAGTTTAAAATTTGTTTCTGAAAATAACAAATATTGATTTCTCTCGAAGAAAGAATTTTTGTCAAATATCATATTAAGATTTTCAAAGAGAAAAATCAATATTTGTTAGCAAATAGATTTAAAAATGCGTTACTTATTTGGAAACCATAGAGCGATCTCATAGTAGAAAAATCTGGACCCTTCAGTCTAAATTTGCGTGGACAGATCCCGGCGCAAGATAATGATCGGTTGACGGCAAAGCGGGAAAAACCCAAAATTCGCCTGTTTAATGACTTTCTCTTATTTTTGTAAAAATTATGTTAAAAATAAATTTTGTGTTTTTCTTGTTTTTGCAACAATTATTAATTTATTACATGAGGAAAATATTAATTTTTAAACCAATTTTTTTATTATTATTTACTCTTTATGCGATTTCATTTATTTAATAAGATTTGAATTTTCTTTTAATTTATCTTTCTCTCTCTTACTCATAAGTACCAAACGATCAATTAAATTTATAAACATTTAAATAATTGAAATTTCTTTCTTTATTAACAATAAAGTTTAAAATTTAATTAAACAATCGTTACCTTTAATAAATATATTCAATAAAATATTAATTTTATTCATGATTTCTATTCGTGTGTAAAATAAATTCTAAAATAAATTAGAAATTACTAATTAGGAAAATTCAATTATTTAATTGTTTAAATAATATATTATTAAAAATTTAGAACTTTAATAATCCTTTGACTAATTTCAACATGGCAAAATAATAAAATTGTTTAAATTAATGATAAATGCTAATTTACTAAATTTTGTAAAAATAAAATGTTTAATACTAATACTCTACAAAATTAAGATTTAAACAATTTTAATTTAAAATGATGAAATTAAATTAGTTCTAATAATTCACAAAATTTCAAATTTAGTTACTAAAATTAGTAATATACAAATATTCGATCATTTTTAATAATAAATACTAATTGTAATCAAAATAAGAAATTACTGTATATTTTAAGGCTTACTGTAAATAATTTAAGTTAACTAATTTTAAATTGTTTGTTAAAAATTGTACTAATTTTTATATAAGATTTTTATTCGATTTAATCGTAAAATCTTTGATAATTTTGCAAAAAGGTTGAATTTTAAAACTTTGAATTTTACGGAAAACCTAACAGTGTCTCCATCTTTTGAAAAAACTCTAAAGTTTTATCCCACTCTAAAGATTTTTAAATTTAAACGCCCACGTAAATTTTGGCAACTATCGGAGGGACGAAACTAAGGGTCCCAATCATAAGACCCTCGATAATGAGATTTTACGCCTCTTTCTTTTTTTATTCGACAAAACCGAATTTTGCCATGCCCATACTCTTCCACTAGAAAATTTAACCCCCAATTTGGAAAACTTTAGAGGGGACAAGACTATAAAAATTTGAACTCTTGGAAAAGGACTCACTCTCTTACGCACTTCTTTATTCTTCTTCTTCTTCATTTTTTTTTCAATTTACACACTACTTTTTTTACACTCTACACACTTTTCTTTTTATCAATTACAACTACAATAACTTCTTTTTTTACTACTCATCAACACAACAACACACTCAACTTTGAATTTTTAAGAATAACTACTCTCATTTCTTCTAATACCAAGTTTTAAAAAGTCAAACAAGTTTTTGACAAGTTTTAACAAGTTTTTCAAACTTTTACAAATTTTAAAAAGTCATTTTTACATGACAAGTTTTTGACAAGTTTTTGACAAGTTTTAAAAAGTCAAACAAGTTTTCTACAAGTTCAACAAGTTTTAAAAAGTTTTCAACAAGTTTTTCAAAGTTCAACAAGTTTAAAAAAAAAAGTTAAACAAGTTTTGACAAATTTTACAAAGTCAAAATACTTTAAAAATTTCTACAATCTACAAAAAAAAATCTTGAGGAGAAATTATCAAAGATTGAACGACTAAATATATTGCTGCCTATTCTGTTTGCCGAAAAATTCAAATTACAACAATAAAAGTAAGTTTAATGAATAAATGTTATAAAATTAATTAATTCGTTTACATTCATTCATTTTCTTTTTTTACACAAGTTTACTTTCTTCTACTCTTTACATTTTTTTTCGTCTGAAATAGAAACTTGTTAAACCGAGTTTCAAGATGACAATTTTGAATAGGGAAAACGCGCGGTATTGATATGTATAGTTGCTAACCTTATTTTATTAAGCGCGTAGGCTATACATTTTCAATTCTCTTCCGTTAGCTTCTTTTCTTCTTTCTTTTAAACTTCCTTTTTTTTAATACTCAAATTTAAGATAATTTAATTAATCAAGGTTTAGACTAAAAGTTTCCCGAACTATTGGACTTTAGAGTCTAGGTTCAAATATCTAGTTAATAATTATTATTAACTATTTTTTTAACTATGTTATATCTTCAGACGTAACAGTACTTTCAATATAAAATAAAACTAGAAAATTTTTTAGAATGTTAAAATAATTATTTCTAGTGGTTATTTATTTACTTTTCTTGATTTTTAATTATAATTAATCCCAAAATATTTTAAAAACTGTATTTAAATTATCAATAATTTTTATGACATTTTGAAAACACTTTTGAAACTTTTGAAAAAACTGTTTTCATATTAGTAATCAGCAACCCCAAAAACCCCTCATACCCACTTCTGTGCAAATTAAATTATTTTTTAAATTTTCATCCGCCATATTGGATCTGCCATTTAGAATTTTTGAAATCCGACTTCAGAATCATAATCAGCTACCCCAAAAACCCATAAATATCCAATGCTGCGGAAATCCATTAATTTTTTAAAATTTCGTCCTCCATATTGGATCTGCCATTTTGAATTTTAAAAAACTAATATCATATTCGTAATCAGCGACCTCAAGATACCGATTGATGTGAAAATCTAACTGTTTGAAAAATCTATGCATTTAGAAACATTTTCTTGGGGTTAAACTCATACACAGGGAGGTTAACAATGTGTAGAAATGAGTATCGCAAGATTTTTTATACTATTTGATCAATACACAAGACAATGAAATTAATTTCAAGAATGTGCCTTGAAAACAAAATTAAGTTTTCCAATACCTAGAAGTTTAAAAGTTCTAGGGATATACCCATTTACATGTATTTAGAAAAATATTGCAGAAATATGCATGGCAACTAATGAAAATTGGTAGTAATATTTCTCGTATTCTCATACTTTAAGGATTATACTTAATATTAACTATGCAGTAAGTACGGCTAATTATTTTCTAAGCCTTTTGAAATGTACGCAAATCTCATCTATTTTGCCCCAAGGTTGCGGATTTTCAAATTTAACATATATTTTAAGCTGTTCAGGAACTTTACAAGTTGTAGTATGTGTAAATATTTTATACAAAAACAAATGTGTTAATAAAAAATATGTAGTTCAGAAGAACGTAAAATTCAAATTTAGAAATAGAATAAATATCAATCGAAATTAATAAGTAATTATACAAATTTTAATGCCTGTGTTCTCTTGTATAGTTTTAATATTTGTTAGTTAATTATTAAAAATTTTTCACTTTCTTTTTTACTGAATATTCAATAAAATCATTAATTTAGTTGTTTCACATAATATTCTGAATCAAGTAGCAATTACTAAAAAAAGATTTGCTTTTAATTTAAAAAAATTGTTAAGAAACTTATATTTAAATTGTAAATTTATTTAATGTTACAAATAACTAGAAAATTTTGATACATTTTCACAATTGAAATTATAACAACCGACAAAACTGTTCAACAAAAATTGTTTTTCACAAATATTAAATAACAATTTTTTCGTCTTTTAAATATATCGACAGAATATTTACAAAAAAAAATTCAAACTATTTTTACAAATCAGTAAATTAAAAAAATTGTTTTTAATATATTGAAAGTTGTTATTAAAAAATAATCTTATAAAAATGGAAAATATTCCAAATATCCTGTCGACATTTCCAATATCGAAATCGGGATTAATCATCTTGATGATTATCGTCGTTATTATCACGATCGCTACTCTCCGAAGATCGACTTAGACTTCGTGCTGGAGGAGTTTCCTGTCTCGTTTGTTGTCGCGGTTGACTTTGTGATCGTCGGCTTTTACTCCGGCTGCGTTCGCGTTCCTTATTATTCTTGATGGTCGATGTGCGCCTGGGAATTTCAACGTGCGCAGGACGATTTTCCTCGAGATCATGTTCGACATGCATACGTTCAATTGGTGGGGTTACTTTATTTGGACGTTTTTCATTTAATTCCTCCTCCATTTTCTTAAAACGTTTTTCATTATTCATTTTTTTAGTGCGAGCCAAAACTCCACGACGTTCCGGTTTCATGGTGACTTTTCGATTCGTCCTACGTTGACCGCCCACACGACGGCGAGAATTACGTAAGCGACGTGCGCCTCGTCCCCGTCGTCCACGACGCATGCGACGTGAACCCTTGCGACGCCTTCTTTTTCGCATACCCTTTTCTTCTGGAATTATAACGTATGGATTTACACCAAATGGATCAGGATTAAGAGTGTAGTGGCCATTGACCCTCCTTAGGATTCCATACTCCATTCCGCGTTTCAGAGCTGCATTCAGCTGAAAAAATATTTTTCATTAATTTTTTGATATTTAATTTAAAATTAATTTAAGTTTATTTTCTTAATTGTTAACTAAGTTAAGTTTAATTAAATTAAATTTGATTAATTTTCTTTATTTTCCAATATATTTTATTCCTCCATTATTACTAACATATTATTTATTAATTATTCTATATAATCTTCTAAGATGTTTTATTTTTCAATTCAATTAAATGTTCAAAACGTAATCACAAGTTTTACTTTTTTATTATTTTAATACTGGCACAAAAATTATTTATTGGAAAATTGTTTTGTAAAATTATTTAATTGTTGTTTATTAACTTGTCGAATTGATTTTCTTTTTATGTTTCATAATTCTATTTCAATTTGGGTGAATTTTTTTTATTTGAATTATTAAAGAAAGTAAGCAATAGCTAGACCCCCCCCCTCCCCCTTAAATGTTTACGTAATACTTAAATGGTCCCATAGAGGATTCATATATTTTCAGAAAATAATTAATTTTCTTTTGGAAAAATTATATATAATATGGAAAGAATATTTTTCTTAAAATTATGTTTAGAGTTCAATTAAAAAATTTTGTATTTTTCATTTAAGAAAAAAATATTATTTTACGTTATATAATTTAGTAATCAAAATATAAATAATGATATTTATAAATATGTGCACGAATATTGTAAACAAAATTATTTTTTTAGAAAAATTAATTGAAATATTTTAATTTAAAAAATTAATAATTTAATTTCAAATGTAATTTAAAGTTTAATTGAAATAAACTATTTAAACATTACAAACCTGACGTTGAATTGCAGCATCCCCTGCACGATGTTCTGACATGATGTAATTCATGATATCCTTAGAAGTTGATCCTCGAGTTTCCCGAAGACTTCGAATCGCCGAAACCACAAGGGATGAAATTTTTTGCATTGGTGGCCTCATAATTGATTTTTCCTTTTTTCTTCTCTTTATAAAAATTCCCGATTACAAATTGGCACAATGAAAAAAATTTTCTTGATGCTGATTCAAGTCTTGTATTTTTTTATAATGCAATTTTTTTATCAATTCCTGTGATAATAATTATTAAGATTCTTAAACTGGTTTGATATTAATTTGAATTATACAAAAAATTTGGAAGAAGACTTAAAATTAGAAAAAAAACTTCTAACGATGATTTAGTGCTAACGGTCCACAAACGAATAAAATTACTATTTGTTGATTTGCTGTCGTTTGTTACATGGTTGCTATGCTAAGTTGCCAATAATTCATTCAATTGTTTTAAACTTTGTTTCTTCTCTGTTTCATATAAAAAATAATTAAGAAATTACAAATTCAATTCCTAGAAAATAATTAAAACTGAAAATTTTCCACATTAATTATATATAATAATTTATAAAATAGTACATTACAAATTATTGTCAGTTTCATTAAAATTAATTTCAATTGCAGGAATTAATTTTTAGTCACTTCTTTAGTTAAAATTTGTAGTTAATTGTGATCATTTGTTTTTTCTCTCGTCCAGTTCTTGAGGAGAAGGATCCGATTATGTAAATGAGACAAAAACGGTTTTTAAGACACTCCAATTTATTGACTTAGATCTTTCTTTGTACACGATATAGCCGACTTAAAATTTTTTCCTTCTTCTGGCACAAGAGTCTTTGGTTTGCACATTGAATACTGAAGGTAAATAACAAAATAATTTCTTTTTTAATTAAACCAAATGAGCACCAGCGTATGTCTTTGCGTAACTTTAAAAGGTAAGCAACATAACACTCCTTTTTTGTATTAAACTGAAATCGATACTCTTTAATTTCTTATGATTAATTAAATCTTCTTTTAGGTACAACGATGAGTGGATGTTCTACAGATGCGACGGTAAGTAAAAAACTAATAAATTCAAATTTAGAGAGGACAGCCAATATGGTGTTCACCAGAGAAGTAGAAAAGGAGAGTAAGGTTGGGTTAAGATATGGATAAACTGCTATTACAGCTCCCTCACCTACAAGGCGGCGGGCCCAAGAGGAACTGTCAACTAACTTTACGCCTGATGCTTACGGTGTCCCAAAAAAATAAAAAGTTTTTTTTTATTGGGTCTCATCCCCTAAAAATCTTTTAATTTGTGTAAAAATAAGAACACAATATTTGGAAATAAAATTTTTTAATATTAACCCGTAGTTCAGAGCCTTTGAACCATAAAAACGCTAAAAATGTAGTGTTTTTTCATTTTTAACATAAATATAAATGTCAAAATATAATGATTAGGGTGTCATTGTAAAGATAATTAAATTACCTTTCGATCCATATGTCACAGTATAAGATTCAATGAAAATTAAGAGTGTTACAGTCGATTAAAGATTAAATTTCATGGAAATTTTGATGATTATTAGACACTTAAGTAAATAGTACTTTTTTCACATTGAACAGTAAAAAATATTTAGATTTTAATTTTTTTATTAAGAGTCTAACATTACAAAAATCCGTAATTTAATCGTCGATTAAATTCGTCTCAAAATCCGTTACCCGATTTTTAGACGAATTCGATCGACTTTTATGAAGTTCTTCGCCATTTTGAAATTTGAAAAACTGACATTGGACTCTAAATCATCGACTTCAGTATTTCTTAATCACTGATTTTAGTACGTTTAGTGGTTATATCTAAACTTATTGTTTCAATTTTTGCTGCAAATGTTGAAGGAATGATAAAAATTAAAAAAATAGTTTCGTTCACTAAATCTAGTGTATAATTGTCATATTCAATCAAATCGAGGTCCACAAGGGCTAAAAATTTTCGTAATGTTAGACTCTCAATAAAAAAATTAAAACCTAAATATTTTTTACTGTTTAATGTAAAAAAAAGTACAAGTTACTTAAGTGTCTAAAAAATAAAAATCATCAAAATTTTCATAAAATTTGATCTTTAATCGACTGTAACACTCTTAATTTTCATTGAATCTTAAACTCTGATATATGGATCAAAAGGTAATTTAATTATCTTTACAATGACACCCTATTCATTATATTTTGACATTTATATTTATGTTAAAAATGAAAAAACACTATATTTTTAGCGTTTTTATGGTTCAAAGGCTCTGAACCACGGGTTAATATTAAAATTTTTTATTTACAAATATTGTGTTCTTATTTTTACACAATTTGAAAGAATTTTAGGGGATGAGACCCAATAAAAAAAAACTTTTTATTTTTTTGGGACACCCTACTGATGGTGGGTCGTCTCGATGCGCAAAGTGAGAGATGAAGCGGTCAAATTTTCTGGACTAACTACTGACAATCCGACATTTTAATTCACAACGTAGAAGGGTTAAAACTCGAGTCAGCCACAATTAGTACCGTTACATTTATCCCCTCTTTCGACTTAAGAGATGGCTAAGTCGAAATTATGTTGTCATTTAGATGTAACATCTTAATCTACTCCTTCCCTTTCGGACGTATCACCATCTACGTAGATTTTTTTGCACGGACTTAATCTTTGCAAAAAAATTATTGAATTTTAACAAATTGTAGATAGATTTAATAATTTTTTACTAATTTGAATTGCGAATTTCGTCGATTTCTTCAACTTTTTTTTTCCCAAAATTTTTGCAATCGTAAATTTCGAATGAATTCGTTATATATTTTCATTTTCAAACAGAAATTTACTCGAAAAATCAGTTTTTGAACGATTTTAAAAATTTCTAGAAATTAAAAATTGGTCGATTTTTTCGTTTTATTTGTACAGAAAATTAAAAAATCTTGATTTTCGACTAAATTCACAAAATTTTTTCATTTTCTATCTAAATTATACTCGAAAAAGAAGTTTTTAAAAGAATTTGAAAATTTTTCAAAATTTAAAAATCGTTATTTTTCTCGTTTTTTTCTAAAGGAAATTTAAAAATTGTGAACATCGTCGATTTCTTAAACTTTTTTTTTCCAAAAATTTTTGGAATCGTAAATTTCGAATGAATTCGTTATTTATTTTCATTATCAAACTGAAATTTACTCGAAAAATCAGTTTTTGAACGATTTTAAAAATTTCTGAAAATTAAAAATTGGTCGAATTTTTTGTTTTTTTTTTTGTACAGAAAATTTGAAAATCTTGATTTTCGACTAAATTCATAAAATTTTTTCATTTTCTATCTAAGTTATACCGTAAGTGAGGCTAAATTCGCTCAATTTTTCAATTCTTTTTTAAATAACTTCGGGAAACGATGAAAATAAACATTGGCACTGAAAATATATAATCTTTAACCCTTTATCTTTTCTATTACTGCATAAAGAAATTGAAATATGTTGCAGAAAATTATTTATAAGCCGTTTTTTTGTGAGCGAATTTACCTTTAAATGATGGGTAAATTCGCTCACCATTATTATTCTGGCAAAATATATTATAATCTGCAAAAATGAAACTAAATATTCTTTAGAATCAATAAAGAAAAAAATTAAGAACAATATTCAAAGTTATTGGAATAAATATTTAATATTGTTTTATAAATAAGTAATTAGATTCAATCATTCAATCAAACGTACTCATAACCATAAAAAAACAAGGTTAAGTTTGACAGTTTAGTGCTTAAACCGTTTTAAATCGTTTAATTTTCAGTTATAAGAGTACTATTATTTCAAAAAATCGAATTATAAATTAAAGTAATTAACATACTTAAAATATCCAGGCCCAAACATCTTTTTTGTAGACTTATTTCCTGAGCGAATTTACCCTACATGAGCGAATTTAGCCTCACTTACGGTACTCGAAAAACAAGGTTTTAAAAGAATTTGAAAATTTTTCAAAATTTAAAAATCGTCGTTTTTCTCGTTTTTTTCTACAGGAAATTTAAAAATTGTGAACTTCGTCGATTTCTTAAACTTTTTTTTTCCAAAAATTTTTGCAATCGTAAATTTTGAATGAATTCGTTATTTGTTTTCATTTTCAAACAGAAATTTACTCGAAAATTCAGTTTTTGAACGATTTTAAAAATTTCTGAAAATTAAAAATTGGTCGATTTTTTTGTTTTTTTTGTACAGAAAATTTAAAAATCTTGATTTTCGACTAAATTCATAAAATTTTTTATTTTCCATCTAAATTATACTCGAAAAACAAGTTTTTAAAAGAATTTGAAAATTTTTCAAAATTTAAAAATCGTCGTTTTTCTCGTTTTTTTTCTACAGGAAATTTAAAAATTGTGAATTTTGTCGATTTCTTCAACTTTTTTTTTTCTAAAAATTTTTGCAATCGTAAATTTCGAATGAATTTGTTATTTATTTTCATTTTCAAACTGAAATTTACTCGAAAAATCAGTTTTTGAACGATTTTAAAAATTTCTGAAAATTAAAAATTGGTTGATTTTTTTGTTTTTTTGTACAGAAAATTTTAAAATCTTGATTTTCGACTAAATTCATAAAATTTTTTCATTTTCCATCTAAATTATTCTCGAAAAACAAGTTTTTAAAAGATTTTGAAAATTTTTCAAATTTAAAATCGTCGTTTTTTCTCGTTTTTTTTTCTATAGGAAATTTAAAAATTTTGATTTTCGTCGATTTCTTCAAATTTTTTGTTTCCGAAAATTTTTGCAATCGTAAATTTCGACTGAATTTGTTATTTATTTTCATTTTCAAACTGAAATTTACTCGAAAAATCAGTTTTTGAACGATTTTAAAAATTTCTGAAAATTAAACATTGGTCGATTTTTTCGTTATTTTTTTGTACAGAAAATTTAAAAATCTTGATTTTCGACTAAATTCATAAAATTTTCTTCATTTTCCATCTAAATTATACTCGAAAAACAAGTTTTTAAAAGAATTTGAAAATTTTTCAAATTTAAAAATCGTCGTTTTTCTCGTTTTTTTTCTATAGGAAATTTAAAAATTTTGATTTTCGTCGATTTCTTCAAATTTTTTGTTTCCGAAAATTTTTGCAATCGTAAATTTTGAATGAATTTGTTATTAATTTTCATTTTCAAACTGAAATTTACTTAAAAAAATCAGTTTTTGAACGATTTTAAAAATTTTTTGAAAATTAAAAATTGGTCGATTTTTTCGTTTTTTTTTTGTACAGAAAATTTAAAAATCTTAATTTTTGACTAAATTATTAAAATTTTTTTATTTTCTATCTAAATCATACTAAAAAAACAAGTTTTTAAAAAAATTTGAAAATTTTTCAAAACTTATAAATCGCCGTTTTTCTCGT